GCGCGTGTAGCCGCGGCTGCGACCATCTGTTGGGGACAGGACGAGGCCTAGACTTTGGGGGAGGGCTTCGGGTGCGTGGTTCTGGGGGACCTCCACTCGCTCGCAGGGGACCTCGCGGGGTGGTTTTGGGGACCCCGCTGGAAGTAAAACCGGGGGTGTCCCGGAGAGCAGGAGCCCCCACTAGGAGGGAAGGTGGCCTAGCGGAACTGAGGGGTCAGGGGTAGGAGACGGGAACTCAAAGGGGGCCAGGGCAGGGGGTACCTAAAAAAAAGACACAGCCCGAGGTTGACCGCCGCCAGATGCGGGCGGTGGGTTTGGAGAAGGCCCAGGCCAGACAGGAGCGAGTGGGGGGCTCAGAGGGGCCGGGGCTGGAAGGAGCGGGTGGCTTGGGCGGCTTCCCGAGACAAGCGAGATAAGCGGTATCAGGGGGCGCAGGCGGGCAGGGACCGGCTGCACCTCAACGGTCAGACGCGCGGGCTGAGCTGGGGGTGCCGGCTGCCTTCGCAGCTTCGGGGCCTGCACCCCGCGGTAAACTTCCATTCCACACCGTACACACCCCCGGGCCCCGGATGCAGTGATGGGCGCTCGGGAGAGGAACTGGGAGGGAGGGACTTGTGAAGCCAGGGACTCGAGCTGGGGCAAGGACGGGATAACCTTCCCTTAGTTCAGCAGAGCAAGAGGGGCTGACATTCCCCTTAGCTGGGGGACACGTTCCAGCCTCCCCGCGGACGCCTGAGGCTGCGCGATGCTGAGTCCCGTGCAGACTGTTTGCCATACGTTAGCGTCAGTCTCTCCTTCCGTGCTGATCTTTGCTTCGGGGCCATAACGAAGTCCAAATCGGACACAAGCACCCTCAGAGCTGACCTCCCTTTCCGGACAAATGGATGACTCACAGCCCGGGCAGAGCGGAGTGGGACAGCTGCAGGTTTCGTCACGCCTGTAGTCAAACTGATGACTTGTGCTAGGAGTGGTGGCGCTCACCTGTAACCCCAGCACTCAGGAGGCTGAGGCAGGAGGATCACCATGAGTTCCAGGCCAGCCTGGACAAAATAGTGAGTTCACAGACAGCCTGAACTACTGAGAAAAAGAAAAAAACTACTGAACTACATAGCAAGACTCTGTCTTGGAGAAAAACAAAAAAAACTAATGACTTGTTTTGTTCACGTTTGACTTCTGGAATTTTCTGTTTTCCATGTACAGCCATGGCTGTTGACCCAAGTAACTGAAACCATGGGTAAGGGAGGGTGCCAGGCTGGACCTGGGTCCAGAGCAGAAGTGGATTCCCCCACGGTCGGAAGGGCAGAAATGCAGAGCAAGGGGCCGGCAGCGTTGCTTCCTTCCTGGGGCTCCCGAGAGAGAAGCTGTCCCTGGGCTTTTTCTGAGGTTCCAGTGGTTTGTTGACCGTCTTTGGCAATCCCTGACTTAGAGCAGTTTCGCTACAGTCGTGCAGCTCTGTGGGGGAGGTGTCTGTGCCTAAATCTCTACTTTCTAGCTGGGTGTGGTGGTCACACCTATAATCCCGGCACTTAGGAGGCTGAGGCCAGAGGGTCAGCAAAATCTGAGGCCAGCCTGAACTGCACAGCAAGACCCTGTCTCAGAAATAATAAATAACAATAAGCAAATAAATCAATGAACTGATTAAATCTGCGAGAGAAACTGCCATCCAGCCCAGGGGGTCTCTGGCCTTGGAGAATCTGGGGTACAGTGCACACTGGATGGTCCATGCTGACACCTCCAGCCCAGCTGCCCGGGGTGGGGGGCAGGGGTCACTGGGAAGGAGATGGGAAAGAACCGAGATCCCTGAGTAATGGACATCTCATCGGGGACTCCGGCTCCCAGTGAATACACAGCATGGACAACTTGTATTTGGTAATTGCTAAAGCGAACACTGCAGAGACAGGGCAAATCCTTTTTTTTTTTTTTTTTTTTTTGGTACCAGGGATTGAACTCGGGACCTTGCCCTTGCGAGACAGGCAGCAGAACCACTGAGCTACATCTCAGGCCCCTAAATCCTACTTTTTAAAATGCCATTACAGCTGGGAGTGGTGGCCCACTGCTGTAATCCCAGCACTTGGGAGGCTGAGGCAGAAGGATCACCGCAAATCCAAGGGCAGCCTGGGGTACAGTAGTGAGACCCTGTCTCCGAAACCCAAAAGTGAATAAATGCGTTTTTTAAATGCCATTGCAGCATGACATTCTCTAAAAGACGCCTGAAGTCAACACCCCCCTACCCCCTTTTTGCAAGCAGGAGTCACTGTGACCCAGGAGTTGACCTAGGCCTTGCGCAAGAATAGCCTTGCTGGAATTCTGTAGAACTGAAATTGTACCGACGTGGAACTGTTTTTTAAGTGCAAGCACAGAACTTCTTACTAAGAAACCTCCTGTAAAGCAGCCACTAAGTGGTGATGCTCGGGCGAGTGACATCTTTTGCAACCTCAGGCTGAAAGCCCTGCGTGCATCTATTCTCTCTGTACCTCTCTGAGAGGGTGGAAAATAGGATGATTTCTTTTTCAACGCGGTTTGGAAGCTTCGTTTAGATTGCAGTCATGATGGTGCTTTGCCTCCTCTGTGTCACCCACAACAATCCGAAGCTTGCTTGCTGCCTGCGCATTAGTGGGTGCTATCTTCAGGGTGTGAGGAAGGAAGGACAAAGGTCTAAACCCTAAAAGCTTTTCCTCCCTCCTGCCCCCCTGCTCCTGGGGGATTGGCAGAAGGAGGCTTCTCTCTCCGGCAGCCCCAGTGAAACGACTTTCCAAATTATTGTACAGAGCAGCAAATACAAATCTAAACCCGAAGTTCAGAAAGCTCCTCGCTACTCCTACTCCTATACCCTGCAAGCATTTGACGTTTGGAGAATAATTATGAAAATCCGGTGGTTTTGAATTGTGGTTTCCAGAGAGGCCCTTCCTTAAGCCCTCACAAGCGCCTGCCACAGCCTGCAAGGGGCCTGGGGCCCGGGGCGGTGTGGTCCCCGAGGAGCTCAGTCGCCTACCTTCTCCAACGTCCTCATAAACAGAGTCGGTGCCAGAGGGTGGCCCTGGTCTGACAGCTGTCGCACGCAGGCGCTGTCACTGTGGGTGTGGTGCCCAGAGAGCCACTGCTCGCTCAGGGCTCTGGGAAGGTGCGTTACCAGTGGGTCCTAACAGCTGTGGTGTGGGCATTGGACTTAAGGAGAGAGTGGGCGGACAGTCGGTGGTGCTCTCATGGATAGGAAGCCGCTGGGCCAACAGGGGGCGCTGTGGTGGAGCAAGGTCGCTTACTGTGCACCCGGTCCAGGGAGCCTCCTCCTGTGCCGAGTGATCCCCTCCCCGCGGGATAATTGGGGTTACCCTGGGCTCATTGCAGAGAGGGTTGCAACAGCAGAGGGCACCAGCAGACCCCTTGTGACACACGGTCCAAGTCCTGATCCCAAGAGGAGCTGTGGTAGGGCCAGGGATGTACCTCACAGGTACAGTGCACGCCTGGCAAGTGTGAGGCCATGAGTTCGATTTTTCGGTACCAGGAAAAAAAAAAAAAAACAGATGGGAGTCTGGGGTGTAGACGAGGAAGAGGGCGTCACACCGAGCCTGCTCTTGCCACACTGGACCAGGTACCAATAAGGGTCCTAGGAGGGACCATCTGAGGGACGCCACCTCCTGGTCCTCCTCCTCCTCCTCCCCTTCCTCCACTTTCTCCTCCTCCGCAGCACAGAGGAAGGAATCCGGGGGCCTCACACCTGCTAGGCTGGCGCTGTGCCCTATCCGAGTCCCCAGCCCAGCCAGTCTGACTGCTACACCTTCCACACTGGGAGCAGGGGCTCCCTCCCTCCAAGGTGCCCGGTCGCATCCCAGCACCTCTGTAAGTGCTGACAGAGTTTTGTTTTTTGGCTTTTGAGGCAGGGTCTCGCTATGTAGTTGAGACTGACCTGGAACTAACTTTGTAGCCCAGGCTGGTCTCGAACTCACAGCGATCCTCCTGCCTCAATCATCTGAGGGACGCCACCTCCTGGTCCTCCTCCTCCTCCTCCCCTTCCTCCGCTTTCTCCTCCTCCGCAGCACAGAGGAAGGAATCCGGGGGCCTCACACCTGCTAGGCTGGTGCTGTGCCCTATCCGAGTCCCCAGCCCAGCCAGTCTGACTGCTAGACCTTCCACACTGGGAGCAGGGGCTCCCTCCCTCCAAGGTGCCCGGTCGCATCCCAGCACCTCTGTAAGTGCTGACAGAGTTTTGTTTTTTGGCTTTTGAGGCAGGGTCTCTCTCTGTAGCTGAGACTGACCTGGAACTAACTTTGTAGCCCAGGCTGGTCTCGAACTCACAGCGATCCTCCTGCCTCAGTCTCCTGAGTGCTGGGATTACAGGCGTGCGCCACCATGCCGGGCAGTGCTGACAGTGTTTTAAAAACTGCCTTTCACAGAACTAAAAAGAAGTTGGTATCTTTCCAAAAAGTCTATCAACAATCCTTTAGCTCCACGGGAGAGGGAAAAAGACCTTCTGCCTGGCAAAGCTAAGACTGCAGTGTTTTCCTGTGCTGCTCAGTTCCAAACCTCCAAGCAATTTTAGGAACATTAGAAGTGCGTCAAGAAGGGGTGGAAATCTTGAATGGATCCGCTGGTGGAGAAAATGCTTTATTTCCCCCAGGTTATGGCTCCTGTGCGATCTTTCAGCTCTTCGGGGGAGCGTTGGCAAGCACCTCTGCCGTTGTAATATCTATGCTGGCATTTTCCACGGTGTTATTTAATCAGTTTGGTAATTTAGTGATCTGGCAGGAGAGTAACTTGTGATTTTCGCTGTAGATGCTAAGAGCGTGAGAAGATGACCAGACGCGCTTGGAATTTAAAGTCTGCGGGGAGGACGCTCTCCCCCACCACGCGCCAGCAGCATGGGAATCGCTCACCCGCAGGCTCCGGCCCCAGCCGTCTGGAAACATCAGCAAACTGTGGGGCCGGGAGGAAGTTTTCATTTATTAGCAACCCCCCTGGGCTTTCCCTCTTCGCAGTAGGCAAATGAAGCCGCATGTGCACTTTGTGCCCGCAAATATTTCATAGCTGAGGAATGAATAAATAAGTCGGCACCCACGTCGCTGGTGCCTGGTCTTCCATGGGGAAGGACTGGTAAAGCCCCCAAATGGCCAGCCACCTCCTCCAGATTGGACCTCCACGAGCTGTGAGAGAAGGCAGGATGAGCGAGCTTCTCGAAAAACACCTCTTCACGCCTCCGCACGGCCAAGAACAACAGAAAAGGAGAGGAGAACGCCTTCGTGTGGGTGGGAAGACGAAAGCCAGGCCTAGTACACGCGCACACTTTAGTCTAAATTTCTTTCACCATCCATTTGCCATAAATGTATCAGCTGCGTGCACAAAACCAGGGCTCTGCTTATCCTTTTCCCACCTACTGTGAGAGCAGTGTTTTGGGGAAAAGGAAAGGTGGTGAGGGTGGGGCAGAGCTGAAGTGGGGGATTTCGGGGGAGTGGGCTTGCTCTAGGCTGCCAGTGACAGGGATTTGGCCACCAAAGCACACCACGGGGACATCTCTGGGCCCTGGGGAGGCACCTCGGTCGGGGATCTCAGTTTGCCCATGGCTGTGTGCCAATAAAACTTTATGGATGGACACAGAAATGTGAATTCAATATAATTTGTGAGCGCCAAAAGCCTTGGTTTTTTGGGGGGGCGCGGGTGGTATTGCATCTTGTTTTGTTTCACAGTACTTGGGTTGAACCCAGAGCCTTTGCACTGAGCTACATCCCATCCTGGTTTTTATTTTTCATTTTGAAATAGGGTCTCTCTAAGTCATTTAAATTTCCCAGACTGGGCTCAAACCTGTGATGCTCTTGCCTCAGTCTCGCAGAGTGCTGAGGTTACAAGCCTGCACCACCACGCCTGGGCCTAGTGATTTTTCTTTCTTTTTTTTTGGTCCCAAACATTAAACACAAACACATTCTTCACTCACAGGCCACTATAAAAACAAAACAAAACAAGACAAAACAGGCACTGGTGGATTTGGGGACAGAACACACCTAAGCTGGATTTCACTTATTGTCTGTTTCTGCCCGCAGGTCTGCACAGCAAAAGGACGGCACCAAGGCAGCGCCTTTGGGGCAGCAGGAGTCGGGCCCCTGAGCTCGGGTCCTCCAAAGCTGGCGGCCTTGCGGCTCCTCCATTGAACTCGGCACACTGACGCCGTGGTGCAGGTGGGAAGCGAGCTGTACACCCCGCACACTGACGGTCCTGACGGTCACTCGGGGTCAGCGCAGCACTTTCTGGGGCCTTCAGATTTGCCCGTGAGCAAAACACACAAGACCTACTCTGTGTCACTCCCTTTCTCAGGTCAAGGGAATCACACTGGCGACTAAACTCCCGCCCACCCATGGTGCACAGGCTGCGTGCCTACATGGGCACACAGACATACATTCTATCTCTCTTCCTTTGAGGAAGCCTGAGCTGTGTGTGTGTGTGTGTGTGTGTGTGTGTGTGTGAGAGAGAGAGAGAGAGAGAGAGAGAGAGAGAGAGAGAGAGAG